TCTTTCTTTCTTTCTTTCTTTCTTTCTTTCTTTCTTTCTTTCTTTCTTTCTTTCTTTTTCTTTCTTTTAAATTTTACCATTTTGTGTGTGTGTACTGTCAATTGAATCTGACTGATACAGGAGGAGATTGTCCCTCCTTCTCCAGCAGAGCATCTAGTGGATTCAAACTGAGCGTCTCTGGGATTGCAGTGTAGCTTCTTGTCACTAAGCCACCAGAGCTTACATAAAGAGTTTTTCTTAATACTATAGAATTATTTTTTTTTAGTTCATTTCAAATGCTTAATGCAGAATGAATTATTGGCTCATGAAAAAGGCATTTGCCTCTGTTTCCATTTCTTTACGTTTTTTATATTCTGTGTGTTCTGCAGGTGTCAATCCAGAGAGGTGGATTGGCACAGTGAGTGCATAATGAGCTTGAGTATGGAAGAGGTCATGAAGATGGCACAGGACAAGATTTCTATATCCATTGTTGCTATTAATCATAGTTTACTCGACAGCACCTACGACACACATATTCCTCACAACTGTTCTCTAAGAGGGGTACTGTTACTCCTCTTAAAGATAAGGAAATTGAGCCCAGATTAAACTCTACAAACACTATCAGTCTTTTCAAAAACAATTTATTTCTGTGTTTTTATATATAACTTGTATGCTTTCAGAGGCTTTGTGTCCCCTGTAATAATCATTTACAAATATTTGTGCTATTCCATGCTGCCAGAAAGGTCAGTGGTACCCAAAAATGACTTTCCTTTGGCACCACTGATAGTCCACAGATAATCTTCCAGTATCAAAAGATACAAGAAAGTCCATCAGTAAAAGAAAATAAATACAATAATCAGTAGTGTTTATATGGTGCCAAGTGCACCAGAATGTCGTCCCCCCCCCATACAGCTCTGAATCAGATTTTGCAAGTTTACTCTGTGAGAAAATCACAACCCAACTGAATGAATGTTGTGGGCTTCCAAGACTCACTCTCAGGCCCTGAATGGTGAAGCTTTATCATTCAATGATGGCCTTTGGTCATCTTTAGTCATTATTATCCATAGCTTTTCACCAACAACTCCTCCCCTAAATAGACTGGCAATCACATTTCTTCTCATTCAACATAGGCTTAATTGTTCTAACAGGATGTCTTTTGCAAAGACATAATAGAAGCAATCTCAGATATAGACAACACCTTGACTTTCCTTTTTTGTTTCATTTTTAAGAAGTAGACAGCTTTGGAATCCAGTCCTGATTCTATCGCCTAGTATGAATCATATGAAAGTTCTTTTACTTTGCTGAGTTTATTTGCATGCTTGACTGCTAACCTAAAAGTTAGTAGTTCAGGCTCTGCTGTCACTTTTGGAGAAAGACCAGGTGATATGGTCTTCAGCCAAGAAGATTTCAGCTGAGAAAACCTATGTTCTTCTTGGAACATTTCAGGTCACCTTGAGTAGGAAGCAACTTGATGACGACTAAATTATTTTAAAGCCCCTCAGTTTTCTCACTTGTAAAATGGAGACAATAGCCTATTTCCTAGAACAGCTGAGATTATCAATTAAATAATGAGTTTTAATAGTGACCATCATAGTGTCTAAGGAGAAGATCCAAAGACAAATATAAACATAATTCTCAGTGTGAGAATTGTTCTCGCACAGTTGTTCTGGATGTATGAAGTGGCAGCATCTAGGACAGGAGGTCAGAAGTTGGGTACGAGTTTATAGAGGAGGTGACATATTTTCTGAGTCCCCAGTGGAATCTGTCACATACGGCACCTTAATTTCTGGAATAGGTTAGTATAGACCCATACTGACATGTCCTAAAACAAGTTATATAATTAAGAGAAATTGTGCCCTCTGGCAATATTGACTTACCCAGAAAATGAATGGATTTATTGATAAACATGTATAATACAGAGGTAGGCTTGGTTACAATTCAGAAAAATCTAATTATGTCTTTAGTGACTTTATACAAGATTAGAGATTTTTTTTAAAAAAATCATAGCGGTCAGGCATATATGTAATCAATTTTTTAAAACTAAATTCCAGAGGAAATTATGAATCATTATCATCTTTCATATCTGTGACATTATCTGATAGTCTAATTAGCAATAAAATTTTATGAGTTTATATTACTGTGCAAACATCCCTGTCTCTGTTACTTTCTTTGTAGATTTTTCTTTGTAGTCTTTCTTTGTAGATTTGCAACATAACCATGGTCATCTTAAAGTTTTTGTTACACATTTTGCTCAATGAACCCAAACAATGTGCAGTAATTATGTTTTTTTTAAAGTAACAGTTAAAAATTTTTAATTTACCTACTTGTAGAAAAGATTTGCTCCTTGAGATGATAAAGATCATCTTAAAAGTGCATAGAGGAGCCACTTAAATATACATAGTAGTATCTTAATTATCTTTTGTAATAATTTTTACACCCTTTAACTTGAGCCATTTCTCTAAATGACCAAGTAAAAAACATATGGTGAGATTCTTTTTTTAATATTTTCAGAACTCCTAGTTATAACTACGCACCCAACATGGATAAACACTGGATCATGCAATACACCGGACCCATGCTCCCCATCCACATGGAATTTACAAATGTTCTACAGCGCAAAAGGCTGCAGACGCTGATGTCAGTGGATGATTCTGTGGAAAGGGTAAGCTCTTACACTCATCTCTGTGTTAGATTTTGGTCTCCCTTTCTTTGTGTAGACTTATTCCTACTGATCTTGTCTGTCTCTTTTACATTTGCTAATTTCATCTTAAAGGGGAAGAGAGAAGAAAAGATTTATTTGGTAGTTTAATCATTCTCTCCGTATTTTCTCCACATTTTTTTCTACCTGCCTTTCCAGCCTCGGTTCTTATTCAGGTAGTAACAAAGGGGAGAGAAAAAGAAAAGTATTTTAAGTCAGGTGTCACATCTTCAAATCCTTTGTGATATTGTATAAATGAGTAAAGCAAGTCCAGTGTCAGGGGATAGAGAATGGTGATGATTGTGATGAACCTGAAGTTAAGTGCCTTTTCTTGGGTAGTGCATGTGGACAATACACTCATTTGGCTGTTTGAATCTAGCCAAAAGTGCCTGGGTGAGAATTATGGCAATTTACCATGGTTCTACTTTAGTATACACAATATCATTGTAAATCTGATGTTTCTCAATGGCGACTGGTGGAGTTTTTACAAATTTGAATTTAAAGAGATGGGTCACAATTATTTAATTGATGCTAATTTTTGCTCATGTAGAAATGTGGTTGCAATATTGAGATAAATTAAAGGAAAGCTAGAAATAAAAAAATGTCATGTGAAGTTTCTTGTTTTAATGCAGAAGTAAATGAAGCAAAACATGCCTGAAAGCTAAGTCTAGCTAGGTAGGATTCAGAGGCAACCCATGTTCAAGTTCAAGGCTAGATAACCCAAAATAAGAGTGATGAGAGAAAATGTATTTTATCTTTGCATTTCAAATTGAAACCTGTAAAGTTTGCTGGTAGAAGTAGTATTGTGGTTTTTATTTTAGGTTTGTTTTTTGGGGGGTTGAGTTAAGGTTGTTGGGTTTTGTTTTCCTCTCTCTCCAAAAAACAGATGAACAAAGTTTCTAAGTACAGTGATCCAGATTCAAAGAAAGTTATTTTAAATGTATTATTGGAACTTTCTTTCCAGGACTATACAAAGCTAGAAAGTGTGGATAATTTTTGTGTCTATCAGCCTTCTTGAAGCATACCTTAACTATTAAAAATAGGTAAAAGATTTGTAGGAAATCACAGCTGTGCTATTGAATGTCTCCTTGATTCTGACATGCCCCTGCTCTGTATTTCAGCTGTACAATATGCTTGTGGAAACGGGGGAACTAGAGAATACTTACATTATTTACACTGCTGACCATGGCTACCATATTGGACAGTTTGGACTGGTCAAGGGCAAGTCCATGCCTTATGACTTTGATATCCGTGTCCCTTTCTTTATTCGTGGGCCAAGTGTGGAGCCAGGATCAATGTACGTATCTCTCTCTTTGCAACATTCTGCTGTTGGAGTCCATGTGTGACTGAAATAATTTGATTACCAAGCCCAGTGTCTGGTTTCCTTTCATCCACAACAAAAAATGGGGATATGTAGGTGGGTAATTTAGAAAATGAAAACCTTCTCCCTCCTGTCACATGTTAAATTACCTGAAGTATACTATTTAGTTTACTGGGCACTCCTTGGAGGCAAGGATTCTGAGGCTTCGTCTGACATACTTTGGACATGTTATAAGGAGGAGCTAGCTGGTCCTTGGAGAGGGACATCATGCTTGGGAGGGTGGAGGGACAGTGCAGGAGGGGAAGGCCCTCTGTGAGGTGGATTGATTCCATGACTGGGGTAATCGGGATAGATGTGTCGGAGACAGTGCAATTGGTACAGGACAGAGCAGGATTCGGGGCGATTGTACATAGGGTCGCTATGAGTCGCAAGGGACTCGACGGCTCATCATAACAACAACAACAACATACTATTTAGAAAGAAAGAAAAACTTGCTTTATCCATGTTGAATTCTCTCAAATTGACCAGCAATTCATGCCATTTTGGCCTGTAAAAAAAAGATGTTGCATAAGATTTTTACAACCACAACCCTTAGCTTCTTTGAATCAGAGTTTCTCTGTTGTTTTATTAAATGATCAATGTCATCCTCAGAGTCTTTCATTTTCTTAAATTACTGAAGAAAATTAAAAGACATCATGATCTTTTCCTCTTTTTTTTTATTGTGGTAAAAAAAATATATACAAACAGGGTATTTTCCCAATTCAATAGTTTTTACATGTATACTTCAAAGAGCATGATTTTCTTTTAAAAGAAAAGAGACAGAAAGGGCCAAAGTTGTATTTCTGTCACCCAGCTTTTAACCTTGGCAAGTTCCCAAGTTCTTTTGCATTTCTGTTTTCCCATTAAAAGATGAGTTTTATACGCCCTGCCAGTCACATCAAAATCTTGTATAAAGTGAGATCGTGTACATGAAAGGATAATAGGAAGAGTAGAAATAGACTACAAAACCTGAAATGACCCTTAATGAGCATCCAGCCTGGGCCTAAGAGGCTGTTAGAGGGTTTACACATGTGTCAGCGGCCCCCAGACCTCCCCGTCTTCTGTTCTCAAAGTGATAGGTCTGGGGCCCAAAATTCAGACATTCTGAGTGTCACTCCTGAGTCTCTGCTGTTGCTTACTCACAAGGCATCCTGAGGGAAGTGTGGTAAGAGTAAGAAGGATTTATTTTTCTGTTAGGTAATTTTTTTATTTTTCAAATAAAAATTCATTTTAGAGGAACTTGTAGTAAACACAACTAGTGGCTAAATTTCCAACAAAGTGAATAATTGCTCCTAGATGGATATGTATCGTCTTTCTTTCTTTTTTAAAAAATAATAATTTTTCTTTTATTCTGACTTACTAAAAAAGTTCACATACATTGTTTTTCACAATGGATCTTTCCCATTTCCTTTGCCCATCTCTCCCTCCACTCATCAAATTGTGTGGCCCTCTGATTACCCCCCATCCTCACCCCTCTACTCCCACGCTCCATCCCTTTGGATCCTTATACATACTTTACTACTTATCTTTCTATTTCTACAGTAATGGTCTAATTCAGTATTTGTCCTTCTGGGACTGATTTAGTTCACTTAGCATAATAATCTCCAGTCCCTCTCAAGTTAGTTAGTGATTTCTTTTAAAGCTGTTGTATCCTGGATTTTAATATCATTATAAACACCCTGGAAATTGTCAGGGCTACAGTTTGGACATTTTATGTTTGAAGGACTAGGTGATATGGGTTAAAATAAACTATAAAAACTTTGTATCCTTTCATAAGAATATTGATTTTCAAGCCTTGCTTAGTTCAACAGACAAGTTATGGACTGGAAAGTTTAGAACAAAGTGTACATCTAACAAAAAATACCCCATGTATTAGTCAGTGTCTAGTCTGGCAGTGTAGCCAGAGGGGAGGCAGTGAGCCAGGCTCTCCATTCTGACCCATGGAGCCCATCAATCTTGTTGAAATGCCGTTGCTGCTGATCATACATCAGTCCTAGCCAAATGCATCCACCCATCTCTGGAGAGACCAGATCAGACAGTGGGAAGAGTTGAAGGCAAATGAGTCACTGCTGTAGAAAAAGCAACCCTAAATGCCACCTCCACTGGTGTTGGCCCAGGGCTGTAAACCATCTGTCTTCTTGCAGAGTTCCACAGATTGTTCTGAACATTGACCTGGCCCCTACAATCCTGGATATCGCTGGACTCGACACGCCTCCTGACGTGGACGGCAAGTCTGTCCTCAAACTCCTGGACCTGGAAAAGCCAGGTAACAGGTGCGTCAATAGTCTTCCCTCAGCCGGGTACCGAGAGCCAGTCAGCCACTGAGGGAAGTGGAAACACCACACGCTTTGCCCATAGAATCACCCCAGCTGGGAATTTCTCGCTTGTCTATGAATAGCACATTGATGAAAATGTAGCCATGAGAAGCAGGAGGTGTTCCTTTAAATAAACTCTTAACACAGACCCATTTGGGAAACAGCCCAGATGCCAGTAGTAAATATTGTTATTTTGCTTTCAGGTTTCGAACAAACAAGAAGGCCAAAATTTGGCGCGATACATTCCTAGTGGAAAGAGGGTAATTATTGGTTCCTGGGGTGCTTCTGGAAACCAGTCCTAGTGGGCAGCTCTCCCTGCAGGATGTCTCCCCCTCTTATTTTGGTTTACTAAGCATGCACATTTCGTAAACTTAGTCACAGGATTGAATGCTTTGCTACTCCTTCTCGGCTGGCCAGCTGGGTAATTACTTTTGCCTCGGAATTATAAAGAATAAATTCTCAGAATATGGGGCCAAAACCTTTACGTGGATATGAATTTGCTGTTCCATTTCCCAGCCTTCGTTCAGTGGTCTGGCTTTCTCAAGGCCTCTGTCTGGCACCTAGAGTTTACTTGTTTTTCTTAACTCAGTTTAATAGTTTTAAGTTATATGCAGTTGTAATTATTTCCATAGCCACTTCTCAGTTCCCTTTTTGGATTCGTAGTGTTCATTGACTTGGTCTTTCTGTACTTAAATTGAAAGGGAAAAAGATATTTATAGAGTTGTTTTTATTTTCAGAAATAGACTTTACTCCTAAGCCTGTAAACCTAAACATGTATGCCCCAAATTTCTTAGTCAGTCCTTTGTGGTCAAAATGATACTTCATTTCCTGACCTCTCATCTTGATCAGACTCGGCTCATGATTTTCACAAAGGTCTCATGAAATGCTGAGCCCATTTGAACAGAGTCTTAATATCGATTTCTTGACATTTGAAGTCATTGTTAAGAAAAAGACAACAGGAAGGGAAAGTAGCTTAGATCAAATGTCAAGTAAGATGCTTTTTTTCTTCCTGTCAAGCAAATTTCTACGTAAGAAGGAGGAAGCCAGCAAGAATATCCAACAGTCAAATCACTTGCCCAAATATGAGCGGGTCAAAGAACTCTGCCAGCAGGCAAGGTACCAGACAGCCTGCGAACAACCTGGACAGGTGAGTGACATTGCCTGTCCCCCTCATCACGCATGCGCTTCTCCGTTCTGCATCGTTTATGGAGAAAGTTTCGACATATGAATCAATGTGTGTTTGTATGTAAGCAAGCTTTTCACAGTGGTCATGAGGGCAAGCTCAGTGTAGCACTGCTCGGGGATTGTCTATATGTTTCATTTTGAGCCTTCTTATCATTGCTTGGACTCCCTCCAAGTATAATAGTTGATGCTGTCAGAGAAAGTTCTATGTCAGAAAGCTCGGGCTGGTTCCTTCTGAAGAAACAATGGTCTGCCTAGAGGATCCTATGATCTGGTCATCTTGGAGAGTCAAGAAACTACTTAGTTAGATGCTGAATAGTGAACCATCCCAAGAGTAGGTCATCCTTCTTCAGCCTATTGTCAGATGTTATCCACTGCAAAAGAAATCATGTAGAATGTTCTGGATAGAGTTGAGGGAAGCATTACAAAGCTAAGAAACATAGACACAGTCAGGCTTGATGGTCAAGTAAAGATTAGTGCTACATATAACAGAACTTATCACCCTGGCCCAACTTTTAGCCAAACAATGCCTGTGCCTATCAAGTAAACAAATAATAACAACTCACTCCTCAGAATAACCAAACATAAAATCAGAAGATACTTGGACAGCATTTGCGTTAGGATAAAAGGCCAGAAGGCAAGAAGGGGTAGGATAGAAGAATTAATGGAAATGAGACTTAACAGAGAGGAAGCGAGAAAAGTGTGATTACATTGAGGTTATAACTTAATTTTACAAAACAAAATGTTAATGAATGCTTGAGTGAAAAACCAATTTCTTTTATAAATGGTCATTCAAATTACAAAAGAAAGAAAAGTATGGAAATTTAAAACTATAATCAGATGTTGTCTAACCCAGCTTATTGAACAGAACCTATGGCCAAACTTAGAGGATTAAAAAGAGACACCATTATGCATGGCTTCTGCCTCCGATATCTTGCATCACATATTTCATTAGAATTATCTTCATTGATGTAACTATTACTATAGGGCCCAAGCCTACCCACAATACTAGCTATTATCAATAGAAACAAAAGAAATGCCATAATTCATACTTGCTTCTAAGGAGAGTAAGTATGTGTGAGTAGAAATAATTTTAAATACCCTTCCTTGACTGGCATGGATACTAGCTAAAGGGAAAGCTTGTGTCATGAGAAAGGAACTGAATTCCTGTGTGAATCATTACAAATTAGAACAAAATTGGACAACAGTGACAAGAGCTAACAGTTATTGGGCTTTTTTTTTTAAGTACTGTATACAAGATTTTACATGTATTATTTCAGTTGAGTCATCTTAATTTTTGAGGGCAGAGCTGAATCATCTTCATTTTGCAAATGTGAAGCTGCTGAGTGCCTGAGTGGGATCATACAAGAGTTTGATACAAAACTCAGGAAGCTGGCTGCCTCCAAAGACTGTGTTGTTTGCCCTCAAGTCAGACTCCCACTCATGCCCAGTAGGACAAAACCCTCCCAGTCTTGTCGGATCATGGAGCTTCGTAAAGTTCTCATTGGCTGACTTTTGCCAGTAGATTTACCAGGTCTTTCTTCCTCCTCTGTCTTAAACTGGAAGCTCCACGGAGACCTGTTCAGTATGGAAGCTTTCTCCTGGGTGCAATGTTCGGAAACTGAATCCAGGTTCTCCCATTTTCAGAGCCAAAAAGTAAAGTGATTCTCACTCAGAGTGACCTTCCATCGAGTTTCTAAGGCTATAAATCTTTAGGTAGGGGTAGACCCTGCCCAGCTGCCATTTTTCTCCCTCCAAATAGCTGGTGTGTTTGAAGTGCACCTTTCAGTTATCACTGTGATGTATAACAGAATATGCCACCAGAGTTTATCTTCCTCCTCTCTCTCTCTCTCTCTGTGTGTGTGTGTGTGTGTGTGTGTGCGCGCGCACACGTCTCTGTCTGTCTGTCTCTCTCTCTCTCTCTCTCTCTCTCTCTCTCATTGCTGTTAATACAGAAACAACTCACAAGTGAGCATCAGTGGGTGTCTGAAACTGTAAATTGCATGAGGGGAGATTGCCCATATTCCTGCCACAGAGCTCTAGTGAGTTCCCTGTACCATTAGAGTTCCCTCTTGTCCCCCACATAGAAGAGGAGAATTCTGCCATTGAACTACCACTGTCCCTGCTACATTATAGATCAAGAGAAGTTCAAATCATCTGTAAGTCTTTTAAAACTTATCTGGCCTCAGGATAGCCATACAATTAACCAGCAACAGTTCAAGGTTTCAAATTCATGGAATGAGAAGCCTGGTCGGAATAATCTAGTTCATTATGCACCTGTTTTGTGGTATCTAGCTCATTGACTAAGCATTAATAATAAACATGATCTTTATACCCTGTATTTCCGCAGGCCTTTTGTACCCAGGAATATTTTTGAAACAGAAAAGGGTGGGGAGGGAGGGCTGTTGAAAGAGAGGATAAAACCAGGCCTTCATGGCATTCTAATAAGTCTTAATTGTCAAGTGTTTAGTGGAGAAACATAGACCTATTCATTATATCTTAATTTGAAGTCTTCAGATCCTGCTTATGGAAGCTCTAAGTATTATTATGAATAAAACCTAGGAATTGTTTTGTAGCTCTGAAGTGATTTTTATGAGCCAGCCTCAACAGGCTAATTTAGGCTTTCTTCAGGAGTTCTAAATGATCAATGTTAAATATATCTCATGCAAATTGGCGGTCCTGTAACTGTTTTAGCTCTCTAAGTGTTGAGCATTACAGCCATTTTGGAGTAAGGGACAGTGAATACCTTTCGGGTAACAGCTCTGTGAACCACTCCATATGGTTAGAACTGAAATTTTAATGTCTGTCCTCAAGGGAACATAAACCAGATTATGGCATTTTGCTGCAAGCTTCTTGCTTATGTGCTGGATGCCAGCTATTTTTTTAAAGGAAAGCTTCATTTTGCTTTTTCATATTCTTTTAAACTTGTTTTGTCCCCATGAAATGCTTTATTATGTTGCTCCCTGGGAGTTTCCTCTGCTGCCTTGTTTCTGTAAATATTAACCTAACTTTAGGTTCTATCACACGGATAACTGAGAACATCGACAGCCATCTCCTTGTTCTTGTTGTTATATGCTGTCAGTAAGAACCAACTCATAGGTGGCTCTCTACAAGGTTTCTGAGGCTGAAAATCACAAAGGAGAATATTGCCCTCTTTCTCCTGTAGAGTGGATAATGGATTACCTTGTGGGTGGATTTGAAACACTTACTTCATAGTTAGCAGCACAACTCCCTACCCACATGGCCACCAACTATCTCTGTAGAAATGTGCCCTAATTCATAGAATAGAGCATGAAATATTGGTGATTCTTGTTATAGGATTTCTTCAGCTTGAGGAGAAAAGAGTTCTGGGAAAACAGTGAAGAGACAAAGACCCAGAGAGTTCCACATTGTCTTGAACCTATTCTTTTTAATTGCCACGGAGTTGATTTCCACTCATGGCAACTCTGTGTGTCCTACAGTATAACTGCTACATTTGTTTTCTTGAATTTGATCTTTACAGAACAGATCATCCACTCCCCTCTTCTGCAGTATCATTGGATGGGTTTGAACTAACAACTTGGGTGTTAAATGTCAAGCACAAACTGTGCCACCTAGAGACTGTGCTTCAAACTTGGGTGAACCTACAGTATGAGGGAAATGTTCTCAAAGTGTGGTACGCAGATCACCCAGGAGCTAGCCAGCTTCTGCAGCCACTGCTGACCTCTGAGCCAGAGCCTCTGGGTGGTTGCGAACACTCTATTGTCACAGGTCTGCTAGGGGATCCTGATTTTTTTAAAAAAAATTAATTTTCATGAACATTTACAGAGATTCGGGATTTCCATTCATTCATTGTTGCACCTTTCTCCCTGCCCACCCCTCGTCCCCCCCAAGTTCACTCTTCTCCTTGAAAAGTAATAGATAAATTCCTTCATTGGTATACAATCCCTGCACCACCACTGCCCCCTCTCCCACCCACCCCGAGTACACTCCACTAGGCAACCTTCATTCTGGACTCTTGTGGTAACCATAATACCCTATCATATATCACTTTTAACCTGTTCTCTCCCTCATCTGTTTCAATGCAGTACACATAATTTATCCAGTTTTTCTCATTATTACAGTGGTGTCTCTCTGGAGACTAAGGTGCGTCTAATACAGGCCATGGTCTTTGCTATCACTTGTTATGCATCAGAGAGTTGGACAATGACTAAAGAGGATAGAAGGAGAATTGACGCCTTTGAGCTGTGATGCTGGATAAGAGTATTGAGGTTACCATAGACTGCTAGGAAAACAAACAGATTCATCCTGGAAAGGGTCAAACCAGGCGGCTCCTTGGAGGCAAGGATTCTGAGGCTTCATCTAACTTACTTTGGACATGTTGTAAGGAGGGACCGGTCCTTGGAGAGGGACATCATGCTTGGTAGGGTGGAGGGACAGCGCAGGAGGGGAAGGCACTCTATGAGGTAGATTGATTCAGCGACTGGGATAATCAGGATGGGTGTGTCGGAGAGAGTGTGATTGACACAGGACAGAGCAGAGTTTAGGGCTGTTGTACATAGGGTCGCTATGAGTCGCAAGCAACTCGACGGCACATAACAACAACAACAACCCCAACCCTGATGTTAGTCCCATTTTATAACAGTGGTACAATGCAATGTTTGTCCTTTTGTGACTGAGATATTTCACTCAGCATGGTCACCCATTTTGAATAATATTGCATGAGTTCCTTGTTTTTCAATGCAGCATAGTATTCCATTTTGTGAATATACCACAGCTTCTCTATCCATTTATTTGTTGATGGACACTTAGGTTGTTTCCAACTCCTTGCTATTGTGAACAAAGCCACGATAAACATGGGTGTGCATATATCTGCTTGGATGTCAGCTATGGTCTCTTCAGGGTATATTCCCAGAAGTGGAATTGCTGGGTCAAATGGTATCACTATTTGCAACTTTTTGAGAAAGCGCCATACCACCTTCCACA